GGCAGCAAAGCATGCGTGCTCTACTCCCGGTGGGTTGGCATGGTGACCATGACCTAGTGCTTCGTCCGGGGCCCTTCAGATAGCTCCGCCCTCTCCTTCTAGATGCTCCACGTAAACAATGCCGACTCTCAAGGTTGAGCGCACTCGACTCCTCACATGAGAGGACTCTCAAAACAGAACATAAATCCTCACGGTAAGAAGTGTCGAAGAGGGTAGATAAGGTTAGGTGCAACGTACCTCAAAATAGCTGCCCCCAACCACAAATATTCTCACCAGATGACCTGATGCCGATTGTGATGACCAATTGCTGCTTCGGCACAACCAGCATTACTCAGTCGTTCCACCTCGGCATCAATTGCACATCAGATAGTTCTCATCACACTGCGAACACCCAATATACATCATGTAGCCTTCCTGACGATACCCCTCACCTCCTGGGTCGCCCTTACTTGCCTTTGCCCTCCTCACTACACACCTCCCACGGCCGCTCGCCCAGCAGACCGCGTGCATGTACCGCATAGGCAGAAGACAAGCACCAGATTAGCGCACCGAACCACAACTCTGATACCAAATTGCAAGGAAAATGCGCGATAGCAAACTTCAGAAACCAAGAAGCATCTCTCTGATTAGTCCCATACTGCATTAGGTCTTCCTGTTCTACATCAACCATTGGTTAACGGTGATGAGCCACTGCATGCTCCGGATTTTTATGGGTCTTATTGTCTTATATTTTCTCCACGGGGATGCTACGCAAAGTCACACTGTGGGCCATATGGAAAGAAAGATGCAGCAGAACTTTGGAAGGCACGACGAACCCACGAGAGAAGGTTTGGTTTTCAACCAAAAGGCTTATTGAAGCGGAGATTCTTGGCCAGTGGAGGAAGGTCAAACTATGTGTTCAGTACCACCCAGATCAAGAGCAGATGATTCTGTCTAAATTCAAACGAGACTGGTTGGTAGGAGAAAAGGTGGCGTGGCTGAACGGGCTGTTCTTAAGATGGAAGGATTGGCACAATTCCAACACGCTCCCAGCTCTGCAGATTACCCAAGAACATGAAGCAGCTCCAATATGGTCATAGGGCAGTCTCCACTAGCAAGCCATGTGAAGCTCCAGCACTCAACCTACAGGGATATACTGACAGAGAGAGGATGGGGGCCCCTAAGGGGTCTCGTTTCTTCAGTTCTCGAATATGGCAGCCGGTTCCACAAATACCCAGGGTGCTGGCCCTGCTGTCAGCGGGGAAAGGAGGTGTTCCAAGACATTCGAGGGTTCAGAGTCGATAAGGAAAGGAACAGGGACCCTGCGGCGCAAGATGGTAGGAACAGAAAGGCGATGCAAAGGAGGGAGGTGACGACAACAAAACTGAGACTATAGTCTCAGAAGGATAGACAACTCTCCCAGTTTTCTCGTTTCATTGAGTCATATTTGACAGACCCAGAATGAGGTCTGAGAGGAAAACCAGGGTAGGGCAAGCTGACAGTCAATCCTCCAAAAGGAGCAATCAATGCTGTTCAGGGGTCCTTCGGCCAGACGGAAGGAAGCGTGAGTGTGTTCACCATGTATTTCAATACTTGACTTGCCGGTGGAAAGGAACCAGACTGACGCTCCCCAGAGTGGAAATGGAGCCAGGACCATAAGGGCCTGTTTTTAAAAAAAAAAAAGAAAAAAAAAAAAAAAGAAACCAAGCAGCATCATACACATGAGACCAGATAGTCGTGACCTCGAACCAAAAGCAGAATCGCATCACGAGTCCCACCAAATAAGAGCACAGCAAAAGCTCATAAGTGACAATGTTCGAATAGTCTCATCATCATCAACAAAGAACCAATGTCGACATCCTATCTGGCGCTCTGCGACCAGACTACAAATGGCAGATCCTAKCTAGCCTATCTACAATGCCGCTGGTGACGYCAACAGCTCCCCGAAGTATGAGCAGMTCTCGGCCAATGYCGTTCGCCTCAAGCACCWGGTATGTSTCTCGTATCACWMACRACCTCGATCCCCCACTCACAGATGCCACGTGCACCCAAGGACCACCATGCGCCCCATCCAGCATACAGCAGCGCAKCTCGGCTATGGCTGCCTGCTCCTTCCAGCTCGCCCGTGAGCGCGTGAGCGCTGGCCAGCGTATAGCGCAGCATGCAGCCAGTGCCCGAATGCCGAATGCGTGGGCAGGCCCTTTCCTATATGGAAGTGGCCTGCTTGCTTGCGTGCAGCCTGGCTGCGCTGGGCCCCTGCCCAGAAGCTTCCGGTAGGCCCAGAGAGGCTGAGCTCCAGACCAAACGAATCAGGGCCTGGGCCTGTGGTGGTTGCCCTTGTTCAACTGCCCGCGGGCTGTGTTCGGTCCATGTTGCGAATCTGGCCCAGGGCCTGCCTTGGTTACATTCGAAAGAGTCAGCCTGGGCCTGGGCGCTCTCAACCAACTGGCGCTGCGCAACTGTCTGAAATTACCCAGTTGCGGGATGACCCCAAAAATAGGCATGTAGGCCCTGGGTCGAGCCTGCCTTCACTTAGGGCGGCCGACTGCACAGAAAATAGGGCCCAGTAGGGCAGATCGAGGCCTTGAGCCTCGCACCAGTGTTGGATCCGCTGACGGTCGGCGGCCCTTGACTGGTCGGCTGCCGACCCGCCGACCGATCGGCTGGTCGGCACCTACCGGTCGGGGGTCACCAGCACCCCGTAAAAAAAAAAAAAAAAGGGATCCAGAACCCCTAATAATGCCACCAACACCCCCATAGCGGCCCCCAATACCCCCATACACCCCCCCAACACCCCCAAACCGCCCGCAACACCCTTATTACCCCCCCCAATACCCCCTATATCACTCCTATACCCGCCCTATACTCCAACCCCAACCCCCCCATACCCCCACCCATCCCCAAAAGTTTCTCAGTGGATTTGGGCTGTACTCAGCAAGCGCAGTACAGGCCCCAACTCAGATTTGAAAAAAAATCAGTGGATGGCTGTTTTCTGACTGGTCGGCAGACCGCCGACCGGTCGGCCCTACTGGTCGGCGGTCGGGGTCGGCGGTCGGGGTCAGCGGTTGGGGTCGGCGGTCGGCAGGGGTGCAACCCTGATCCGGACATCCGGACATGTTCATTCATAACCAGACCGTCCGGTTCTGTATGTCCGGTTGTCCAGATTACCGGACGTCCGGATTACCGGACGTCCGGATTAATCCAGACACGGGTCCAAGCCCCGTGTCCGGTGTCTGGATGTCCCGGACCGGGGCAACCATGCAATAGACCCCATTGGAAGTAGTTCCGCCCTTGCAGTGTGTTAAGGTGCGCACCTACCCTTCTCTTTGCTGAATGTTTAACGCACGCACGTGCACACGATGCATGGTGTGACCACTGAAGATGATCTGGTTTTCAAGTTTCCAGTTATGAATGAGAATGCAGATACCCTCTTTTTGGTTTCTTAAACCACCAATACCCTGCCCAGCTACCCACCGGGTCGCCCCGATCCACATGGTGCTGGGAAAGGCTTCGCCTACCAGGCCAAAACGACTGGTGGAACCAGGTAGACCCTTGCCCCCTGACACTTCGGAGTCCAGGTGTGGGCAAAATCGAGCATCCGTAAAAAGAGACTCAGAGATAATGGTGGTCTAAGATGATAATTCAGATGACAGTGTTTCGGGTTTGGTTTTGTCTTTTGGAGAAAACATCTCTTCCCCTTTCCATCCAACGGGAAGGCACTCCACAACTCAGCCTCCAATAAGAAGGATAGAACTCTCCAGACGTAAAGAAATCTCAAAGGTAAGT